ACTGAATATTATACCACAGTATCAGAACTCTATACAGTGTAGTGTGCGATGTATAGAAGTGAAAAACAAGAAATATGTCCATAGGACATGAATGTCCCAACCAGGGTTTGTTCGTAATGCAACACAAAAATTTGCATTAGTGTATGTAGCTTGAGTAAAATACCTAAAAAAAATATTTTTTTTTAACTGAACTTAATATCCAATAAATAGTAAAGTCAAAGATCCTTGGGAAGGTCAAAGTTTAAAAAAAATGGACACAGTTGATAAATTACCAAATTATGTACCAAGGCATAAGCTTATATTAAAATATCTTGAAGAAAAGTTTCTTTGAATCTGAGCTAAATGCAAATTAAATAGAGTGAGGTCAATGTCAAAAGGAAGGCCAAGGCTAATTTTTGATGCAATTCAAAAGCACTCACCAAAATGTATTAGTGTATGAAGTTTGATTAAAATATCTAGACTTGTTTTTTTTTTTTAATCTTTCTAAAAATTTTGCAACTTTGAGAATAGTAAGGGTCAGGGTCAAAGGAAAAGTCAAGGTAAAAAAATATTGATGAAGTCGAAAAATACTTACCAATATGTATCAACATATGAAATTTTATTAAGATATCTTAAAGTTCTTTGAACCTTGGCTAAAGACAAATTTTAGAAAGGTGAAATCAAGGTCAATGGAAAGATCAAGATAAAAAAAAAATGTTGGGAAAGTTGAATAGCTCTCATCAATATGTATCAGAATATATGGGTTTGATAAAAATATATATAATAGTTTTTTCTGAAACTGAGCTAACATACATTTTTAATGTGAGGTCAATGTCAAAGGAAAGGTCAAGGTCAAAATATGTTGATGCAGTTGAATAACTCTCATCTATATGTATCATCATATGAATTTAATTAAAATAACTTGAATAGTTTCTTTTAAATTGAGCTAATTGCAAAGTGTGATGGAAGGACAAATGGAAGTACAAAAGTTGGATATGACATATACTATATGTTTGGGCCATATTCATGGTGAGTCATAAAAATATTAATGATACAGACACAGTTGTGTATTTAATTTGTACAAAAACTCAGTTTTTTTGGTTCAAAACAAATGTATAAACAAAGCATAATCTGTAAGTTGTTTTTTTTTTCACTACCTCATTTTATTTTACCTGTGTCTTGGTAAATCTCTCTACAACTATAATTGCTTCTGTTTCCAATGAAAGTGAATAAGTAAAAATAACCCAACCTGTAAGTGAAGGTAGGGTATTCTGTTTTCAAACAGTCAACTAATTAATGGTTAATGGTAAATACTCAAATGGTCAGAAATTATTTTACTTTATCAACGTTATGAAGTTATCCTATATTTGTCTTGGTTGAGATATCATTGTATGGTTTATAAACCATTTTAAAAATTGAATGAATTGTTGTTATTTGTTTGATAGAGGGTTAACTACCCTTTGTTTTGAAAAGTCTGGTAGGTAGCAAGACCCCTATTCTGTTTTTTGAGGATAACCCCTATCCTCCAAACAAGGAGGTCCCTAGACATGACATGATGTTAAATGCTTCATGTCAAAGTGAAACGAAATTTTTAAATGGCCTACCCCAACCCCCACCCCCAGTAATACATGTTTTCCATAGGCCACTAGTAAATGACCACCTTAAGCCAACACTGAAGCCAAAACCTTTGGCCTAGGAGTCATGAATTTTATCATTTTGGTAGCAGAACTAAGCGCAATTATAATCATGCCAACAGTTTGACTGCTTGGTTTCCAGCAGAAAAAAAATATTTTGCATTTCGTTAGCCTCACCATGGACCTGATGTCTCTACCCTTGTGTCGTTAAATCAACAATTCCTGTAAACACTGGTAAAGGATTCACTGCATAATATAACCATACCAACAAATTTCCACTTTGAAGTCAAGCGGTAAAGAAGATTATTAAATATTTTCAATGTATGACATTGTATGCATTTTCACTACAATAGACTAGTAACAGAGTAAATCTATTTTTGTTACCCGATTCACCAATTGGCGATAAGCAGTCTTTTTCCACGGCTTAAGAAACGCTATCATTTCATGCATCTGACTCCAACAAATATTTTTTCTTAGAAGGCCTTTTCAGGAATTTCAACAAGCTCCTCTGATCGAATTTGCTGTTCGCGCCACATGCCAGAATTTTAAATTCGTAATTTCGATCCCGATGCAATTAACTCCGTCACTACCCTAACTCCGTCACTTTCGGGAAACTCTGCGCTGTTTGTAAACGAATGTGATTGTGACATCATTTTTTAAATGCCGATATATTATTATAGTTAAGTTCAAGCATGCGTCAAAAATTAATAAAAATTACACGTGATCTTTTGTATCTACTATATTTTATGTGAAATCAGTAAGCATGCTCATTTTCCTTCTCTGACATGTGCGTCAACATGCTCATTTTCACGTGTCAGTCATATTTATGAAGGTCTTTGCCAAAGAATTAATATGACATACTATATTGAATACGGCTAAAAATATGTTATTTTTCGTCTCAATTTGCCCTAATACGCTATAACGTTTGAGATATAGCGTGACGTTATTACATATCAAATACGTTATATTAACGTTATTTTTTCTGTTGTTGATACGTTTTCTAAAATAAGATTTAATACTATTTCAAAACTAATTTTCTATGTTTACAAGTTTAAGATGAAGGGAGAAAAAAAAACTAAACTGGAAAAAAAAGTCTAATTAATACGTTGACATGTACATTTTGTAGAGGGCCCTGGTGACGGAGTTAGAGTTGATTGGACGCAATATACACGGATTGTGATAGGCGTTCTATTTATAGTAGTTTTGTATAAGCCCAATAACTGATTTTTTAAAAATAGTTCCGAAAACAATGTTTAAATTCATTACTAAGTTTAGCAAACAAGAACCAAATCAAAAAATAATTCAGGGAGTAACCTAGCGTGTTTTCCGCTCATGGTGACGGAGTTTGGGTAGTAGGGGATAATTCCTTTGCCCCTCCAATTATAGACAATTTCTGCAATTAACCTAGAATATGTTCTGCCTCTAAACAGGATACAAATATTCATGCCTCAAGTCTGTCTTGCTATATAAGGGCAGTCACTAAGTTTCTGGGATGGGGTGCGGGGAGTACCTGAGCTAAACTTTTTTTTTTCAATGGGCTACCATTTTGATGGATTCTGGTGCATTTTTAGTAATTTTTTCTTCACATTTTAAATCAATGAAATTAAACAGCATACCTTAAAACAGAAAATTAATTATTTTGTTTAGTCTCAAAAATCGATTTTTTTCTAAAAAGATCAGATTGTTAACGATTTTCCTTTAAGAAACTTAACTAATTTGCAAGTGTTATTCATTTTCAAAAATGTTTACCTTAATGTTTGTTTATCTGGAGGCTCCCATGAAGCATTTTCCATATAAAATTGTATATGAATTATTCTGCAGCGTTAACTTGCCTGGTATTGTTTGTTACTGCTTTGTGAATTCAGTAGTGAATAATGGTCAAAGACCAAGCTCACGTGATTTAAGTACTATTCATTATCTCAGAGAGGTAGTCACAAACTTAAAAGTGGGGGGGGGGGGGGGGCTCAAATCCAAGAAAGATCTAAAACGTGTAATATAAAGAAATTAACAGGCCTGTAGGAAGCATTTTCACTTTGAGTGGGGGCACAACCATATATTTTCAGTTGGGGGGCACTATCAATTACCAAAATTCATTGATCAGACATTATTTTTGATATAGTAGCTATGAGGTTTACTATAATTTCAACATAGCTGTGATTTTGTTCTACATTAAGTGGGGGGGGGGGGCACAGACATACTCTTGCCCCCAAGATCTGAAAGTGGGGGGGGGGGGCTAGTGCCCCCGCTGCCCCCCCCCCCCCCCCGTGACTACGCCTATGTATCTACTGTGGTCATTAGAGTGTAAAATAGTGAAATAAAGAGTACACAAACAAACTTTTGTTTTATAGTGAATTTCAACTGAGATTCAGGTTTACTTTTGTATTATTATGTTTAATTTTTCGGCATATACACGGTAGTAGTATACGTAAACGAATCTTGCAGGTATTTTAATAAATTACTTTAAAATTCACTAAAAAATTACAAAATTTTTAAAGTTATTCAATTAATAGCCAAAGAATGACCTTAGACCTCCATGGAAAACAAGGACACATAGTAAATTGGTATGGAAAGTCACAGATATGAAGGAAAACGACATGTTCTATAATTATTCCGAGATGAAAAAAAAAAAACATGCGCGGATCCAGAAAGGGGGTCCAGAACCCAATGGGATTTTTGGAGTTATATCTGAAGAAAATTGACTTGGAAAGTGACTTGTCCTACACTCCCATCTCAACCCCCAATTTAGTTGTTTTAGGTTTGGGCAAGTTGATTGTATTTTATATTTCCATATTTTCCGAAGAAAATGTCGGTATATTGTTGTTATCCTGTTCTGGCCCAGTGGTTACTAGTTTTAGAATTAGAATTTTTGAGAATTTTTTTTTACAACCAGGCAGCTAATTTAAAAATTCAGAGTAAGTGACCATTCTTTAGAAGTTGACAGTGGTAGACACAAAAATACTTCTCGAGATCATCTATTTTTTTTTTATTTCTAGTCCAGTGATTCTACAGAATGTTTGAGATTTAACTGCAACAGTTGATATTTTAATCAGATTTGTAGATAGGCAATTGGTAGTTGAGAAAGGAAAAGTTAAGAAAAAAAACGTTAAAATTAGGAGACCCCCCCCCCTCAAAAGTCGTACTATTATTATACAATGGGGATAAACTGTCATTGCAGAAACAAGAGTTTGTTGTACAACACTAATACTGTATAAAATTTTTCATTTTCATTTTTCATTTCATTTTCATGTCAAGTTTTGGTAAGTTCATTAACTACAGTGTACGTGCGTGTATCTTTATAATGGAACTCTTCTGGAAAGAAGAATTTTCATGACGTCATAATAAACAATCCATCTTCCGTTGTCAATGACGCTATCGCGAACTCTCAAAAAGATGGTCAGTCCACCACTGGAGAAAAATAACGAAGATGACGGAAAAACAGTTTCCGAAGAAGACACCGAGTCTGTAAATTTTGATTTTCGACCTGTTGCGTTTTACATCCCAGTTAATGATCAATTTGACAATGGAAACAAGTATAAAAAAAAGAAGAGGAAGAAGTCAAAATCCAAGGTACGAGAAAATTCGGAAAAGACCCGGGATGAGCCTACGTTTAAGCTAAATCATGATGAAAAGATGCTACAAGCAGACATTTTACATCAGGATCAGTTGAATGAAAAAGGTTTGTTCAAAACTCATCGGAAGACTTCAGGAATACATTTCAAAGAAAAAATATTACTCGGTTCGGGGTGATGTTAAGGTTAGAAGAGGAAAGAAAAGGGGGGGGGGGTCGGAAACAACAAAACTTTTTTTTATTCTTGATACTCTTTTTCTTCTTGTTTTGCAAAAAGAAAATATTGGACTTGTTTGTTTGGAATAATATTTTAGAAAACTTCTCTTCTGTGGTGAGATAAGCATATGTCCTGCGAAATCGACAATTCGTTGCAAGTTCATAATGGTCAACATCTTTTCGTTTCTCTGGCCTCTTTCTCCATCAATATCAAAGTATTGTTCAACAGTTTTTAAAAGATACTTGGCATGATTTCAATTTTAATTTTATTAAAATTATTAAATTAATTTATGTAATTTTTTTCTCTCGCTTTAATGGTGTGTGAATCCAGTTTAGCCTTTTGACACGTTACATGACGTACTGTATATCGCATATAGTATTTCGCTGTTGTTCTTTTTTTTCTTTTTTTAATGAGTTTTAAAGTATTCTGATAGTATAAAAAAAATCAATGCATTTTTTTCAAGGACCCTGTTCATTTTTACATTTTCAAGCATAACAAAATGGATTTTTTAAATTCCATTATGTGTATTATACAATGTACATGTGTAATATGATTTCCTAATCCAAGAAAAAAATTTCTAATGATTGTTTCAACACATAACGTTTCTTCAAATTGATATTACCTTTGCACAAAAAGGGAGAAAAATCCGCAAATGTTTTAAATAACAATTTCTTTAAAATAAAAATGTACTACGATTGTGTACTACAAATGTGTAAGATGGATCACTGGCACACAGTTAAAAAAAAAATACAAAAACAAAACAAAACAAAAAAAAAAAAAAAACAAAAAAACGAAAACACACACACACACACACCCTCACACATATATAGAGAGAGTGAGAGAGAGAGAGAGAGAGAGAGAGAGAGTTTAATATTGAGATAACACGGTAAAGTATGTATGATAAAATATCGCATACCGATAAAATGTCATGTTGCACCTGTATGTAGTATACTTAGCACTCTGCAGCACTGAATTATTCTAGTAATGTACTCTGGAAAGTGTTAATATGACAGTGCATATAAAATTGATTCTTACTTTTTGACAGATCGATACAAAATGACACCCTAATATTAGCACTATATAGAATTACTTTCTGCCAGAACATCGGGCATCAAATTTTGTATCCACCAGTCCTTAAAAATCCACCTGGCAACTTCGCGTTTCGTATATTTTGCTTTACACAGAAAGTCACGTTTGTCTGGTACTGGTGCTGTCAGTGATAAAATTTTGATGTATGTTGTTGTTGAAGTTTTCGAACACATTCATGAACACAAATGCAAAAGATGTGGAAAATGAATTGTGAATTGAAATGGACTCTATCTAGTCACCCGAGTTGTGGAAACGCAATGCTATATACAATAATAGCTGTATATTATTTTGCAGAAACGTATCAGAGCTTTTTGCGGAAACGTTGAATAAACTTTTTCTCTCTCAAATGTTGCGGAAAGGTAATACGCAAACTTGTTTATATCTAAACGGATAATATGTAGGTTTTGCATTTCTTTTTCAACTTTAGGAGAGATGAGTAGGAAACATCAAGAGAAATACGAAAAGGCTAAAACTAAACGAGAAATGATAATTGAAAATCTACGGAAAAAAACTGAGGATAAAATTATTCGAGCTGAAGAAAAGAGGAAAAGGAGACTTGCCAAGCAGAAAGAAAAATTAAAAGCCGCCGAGGAACGCCTAGAAAAAGTGAGGTGTCGTAAAGAAACAATGGATCAAAATTTCCGTGAAAAGACTGCATCTAAAATCGTCGAAGACGAAGAGAGACTCCAAAAAATGAAACAGAATGACGTGCCACTGCGCGCCATATTTCGACGAGAAGAGATTTTGCGATACAGACAGAAGTTGTATGAAGATCGCCAACTATCCAAAGAACGCACAGATAATAAAAACGAATAATTTCTGTAGTGTGTATAAGTCATGTCCTGGTGCCAAAATATGTCATTCTCAGCAGATGTCGACTAATGTCAGACAGTTTTATGCAACGTTATGAAAATAAATGTGATAATATATCTTTGTTAATCAGAAATCATATTGTTTATAATTTGTATATTTCTTGAATGACTATAAATCTATTTTGGTCTCAACGGAAGTAAAAATTGAATTTGATTTGAAATTAAAGTTCAAAGATTTACATTTAATATAACATTTTCAGTAACAAATTGCTTTGTAATTGTCAATGAAGTATCAATTTTTTTTTTATTGTAAACTTTTTACCTGGCATATACCTCTAGTATTTCATTAAAAATAGAACTTTCTTTTTTTTCTATGATCATTTAATAGCAGAATCTTTAAAGTTACGATAGTAATCTTAAATGAAAAGAATATAGTTGACTGACTGTTATATTCATAATACAAATGGCTCTCTAAGCATTTTTATTCGATCAGGGACCTTACTTGAAAAAAAAATGTACATTTCTTGATCAACTGCAGTGACTAAGGTTTATATTAAACACTGCTACATAAGCAGAACCCTTTCCAATTTTTAAAAGTGTGGAGGGGGAGGGGTAGTATACTTAACAAACTGAAAGAAGAAAATGGAAGGGAACATCTCATTCTGTGGCCAAGTTCATTTTCTCAACCAATGCACAATCAAACTACAAATGTTAAAGTGAAAATTGTGTTTTTAAACTTGTTACAACGAATTCTCTAAATACTGGGACTAATTTTTGCATAGCCCAAGATCTTTCAAGCATTATCTTGTCATGATCGTAATGGTTTTTGGATATTTCTTATATAAGCAGGTCAGAAAGTAGCAATAAAAAAAAAACAAAAGCAAAATATTTTGTCCCGACTTGTTCAATTCATCAAGTCCTGAATTTGAATGACAATAAATAACAAGAAACAAAATTGACACCTTCAGTTTATTGAAACAATCCTAGCTGGATGTCAAAAGGAGGAACAATATTTTAATAAGTTAAATTGACAAACATCTATATCTCGCATGCTATACCTACCTAGGAACCCTGATAGTAATTAAAATAAAATGATCTGATATTTCGTGAGCATTTTTTTTCTCCACTGGACTATTTCAAATATGAAATACATAAAAGCGTTCATACACTCTCATCAATGTTCAAACTGACTCCGATTGCCAGTAAGTTAGAAATAATTAATTTATCAACAGTGTTATTACGGGAAAACAGTGGGATGACATACCTAATGGATTAATTTAGATATCTAAATTAATTGTCTAATTAAAATTATTTGATTTTACACCACAATTAAGGTTTTATTTGGGTAACGGAACACTTGGAGTCCTTATATTCACAATATACACACTTTTCAAATATCAACACAATTGCCACATCCTGTGGATAAATACGTATAAAAAGGGAATTAAAACTTAATAAAAATGTCTGGGAGGGCTGATTATGTTCCAATGGAAAAGGGGGATCCGGGAACTTCCTCGTCACCAAATCTGACACACAAGGTGTGTTCCCCGGCCTCCACCACTTTGTAACTGACGGTGTATGATGTTGGATTGTTCTTCTTGATCATAAGTTCGGGTTCCGGAAGTCCGCTGGGAGCTACCATACCAACACAAAGCATGGCATGACCTAAAATATAGTAAAACATTGAGTTGCTTTCTAAATTTGTTAGTTTTTAAAATTTTTCTTTTATTTTTTACTTCTCTATATTATCTAATGGCGAGATCAAAAATGCTAACTCCTAGTTTCCCTTACCTGCGTCCTTGACATCAATGCTGAAGGTCTGAGTCTGATTGGTTCTGGCTTTCTTGAGGCCAGGTCCTCTAACCTGCACCTTACTGGCGTCACCACGGAAACGCCTCAAGGACTTAGCGCCCGGTTTCTTTTCTACAGTCTCCACGACCATGGAGGATGTTTCACTCAAAGGAGAAGGCTTTCGTCCAGATCCTAAAGAGATTATTAACACAAGTCTATTATGCATTGTTAAAAACAGAAATTTTAAGGAACATTTACGAAAAAAAAATTCATAATATTTTCCAATGCATAATTATACGATTTCAGTTACTTTTTAAAGTTTATTTGTCGGGCAATTTGAAAAAGGTAGGTAACTCGCACAGCAAAACAATTCATCAAAAGGTAGGGTAAAGGACAGAATCTAGCTACTTTTTAAAGGAAAGATCGAGGATTACACATTTTTGGTGTGAATCTTAAAAAAGCTTTTAAGATATCATGAAAAGGGTAAGAGAATCTCTATTTAAATTTGAGTGAAACTTCACTTAGAATTATAGAGGACATATGGAGCACTAGATTGTTCAACAACCTTCAATAAAATCGACTTCTAGTGACAAGATAGTGCATGCAGCATTACAACTTTGGATTCCCTTTTTAAAGAATATTTACATACAGTAGGGTACATAATTTCAATATATATATGTCACTGATATTTACTTAATATTGCTTTTGATAAGTAATGTCTATTCGATAAAATATTTAATAAAAAATGATTTATTCTTGGACTCTAGATAACCTAAAAAATACTCAAAGCAATCTTCTCGTAAAAGCGATGATTGAACACATACATGTACAATCGCTATTAAGCAAAAATAATCGAGATAGATTTCAATCCTTCTGCGTCGATCATTTTTCTTTCATCATTTCTCGCCGTTTGCAAACAAGCTTCAAAAACAGCATGCTGATTACTTGCTGATTAAAGAGATGTGAAATTAACAAACTTCCGATATTCATAACAGCTTTAAATGCCTTTTGATTGAAATCTATCACGAATGCAGCTAATATAGCAAGCCTTAAGCTGGAGGTTGTGGTATTACTATATACCTGAACCGCCTCTAGCTGTATACGTAAAAGATAAAGCCAATATAGTTATCAAAACTAAATATCAACATTGCACCTCCCTCAGCGAATTTAATTAACTCTCTATAGCTGAAACATACAACAAATAAAGCGCTCAATACAACGCAAGATAGAAAACAGCAATTAAGTGTATATTTTGAAACAAATTATATGTATTACATAATTATTGTTATTTTCACTGCAGATATACATGTATACATGTGTAATAAAACAGCAAGCAAGTAAAAACATACATGAAGTTATTCGAAAATTTGAAATAAGAAGAAAGAGAAATATATGCTGACAGAAATATCCTTATAATGCTCCAACTGTTTATGTGTAGACAAGTACCTGTGACTTCCGCCTGGTATGGACTGCCAGCAATGTTGATGTTACCATACTTTATAGTAATGAGGTAATTGCCCGGGGCAAAGGGTGTATAGCTGAATTCATATCCCTCCTCTACCTCACGACAACTGAGGGCACATTTGGAGGGACCTTCGATAAATATCGCTAAGAAACTGGATCCAGCTCCGGCAGTTCTGACGATAAACTTGTTCTTAGTACCTGTTAGAAATGAGATTTGTTTCCCTTTTTTTAATTTCTTTTATTCAAATAGACTAGATTAAAAAAAATGTACATTGGCACTGCTTCTTCGAAATATTCCTGTTATTCGACATATCGGGGACTGAGATATCTTTGGCCCACTGTATTTTTTAACTGAGAAAAAATAAGCTTTGTAAATCATATACCACATGTTCCGCGCTCCAGTCCTTCTCCATGAGCAAGCACCATAGCGGGATCGGCAGCCATAGAACCCACCATCACGGCAAATGGGCTGTCTGGAATATGGTGATCGTTCAGCTTGATGTCCAAGTAATGGACACCATTCTCCTTTGGAATAAATCTGAGACCGTACAACCCTGTGTCCATTTCCTGAATGAAGCAATCCTCGTGACCTCCCGAAGGAGTACGTACACAAGCGTTCAGGGTACCTGCTGCACCATTGTAGGATACGGTGAATGTGCTAGCTTTGTCGACCTGTGATAATACTGTTTGTTAATTCATCATATTTTTTTTTGGAAGTGAACTATTAGTTCTTCAAAAAAAGATGGAAGACGCTGAAACTATACGAGGGGTTATCAAAAAGTTCGTGGACTTATGCGATAAAATTAATACTATGTAGTCGTTGATTACAAAATTTATAGGGAACATAAAACAACAAATTTGAAGAAGTGCTGAAAATTTCAGCTTGATATGTTGATTATTTCCCAAATTATCATTAAATAAAAACGGCATTATGTGATCACCCGGCGCTGTCGCCGTTTAGTTTCATGACTATACATGAAACTGACTACAAATCTATATTAACCGTGTGTCTCTTTTATTGCTGAATCTCTTTTAGTATTTAAAAACAAGTACTATGGATGAATTTTATTTCTCTGTAGCCTGTTTAAACATTTTCTAAGGCTATGTCAGATTTTCCAGGTGCTGAAACTTTATAGAATGTTTTAAAATGACACCCTACCCCCTTTCGACGTAATTTTTAACCCTTTATTGTTTGGACATTCAAAATAAAAATTACGATAAAATTTCATTGAATGTACAGAATGAGGTAAAACTTGCAACTTTTACAAAAAAATTGCTTCATATCACATGAGTGAATTAATGGGATTTTCGGATGCCAAATGCTCATATAAGAAGAGTTTTTCTCAGTTACACTCAGGTAGAAAATACGGTCTTTTCGAGGCTGCGCCGCCTGGACATACCATTGTCACAAAAGCATTTACGATTCACTAAAAAATAAAACTTATGATTTATAGTTTATTTTACAGATAGAAAAGATGATGCTTATTGAATGTTTAAAAATTCATTGATGTACATATAGCGGTTTTATTTTTATGGCGCAAGTCCACGAACTTTTTGATAACCCCTCGTACTTGAAAACTGAATAAAGCTTACAATGGGGAGTATGAAAAGAGTGTTACTACAAGATCTGATTTCTCGAAACAGGAATAAATCTTTACTGAATGAAAAGAGTAGTTATCGGATACTCTGTAATAACTAGCTAAATAGGAAAAGTATACCTGAAGACCCCTGTCTTTAAGCGAGTGGACAGTGACGTTTCGTGCCACACCGCTATCAGGAGAAATGTGCACTCTGAATGGCGACCCTGGGATGTGGACATCATTGAATTTGATGTGGATATCGTACATTCCTGATCATAAAAAGCAAAGATTTACCAAAATTTCTAGAGTTTTATATACCTTAGTATATTAATAGTACACGCCAAAATTGGAATTGCAGTTCACCTCTACTCGATCAAGAAAGGTGTCAAAGACATAATCGGTTGTTGAAGTTATGGTTAAATAGACACATTTTGTTGTATTGCATGCTAAACATACGATTTTTGATCTTTCAGAACTTACCTGCTACCTTGACTTTGTACCTCACGCCGAGGAAACCATGGGGTCTCTCCTCCAAATTAATAACAGCATCAGATGGACCTTCAACGGCAACACTCAGTTCCCCTGCCCCGGCCTCACGGGTGTAGATATTGAACACGTCTAGAAAATATAAACATGCGTTGTTAAAGTGCTAGAAAATGAACATACATAGTGCGTTTGAATCACATCACACGTGAAATTTTATTTTCTGAAATTAGAAATTACAAACTGACCACTGACACAGGGATAGAATCACAAACACAAATCGGGTCACAAACCAACACATATTTTTTTTTTTCTATATCAAAGGATGGACAACATGCTGGTCATAGATATGAAACCAATTAATTTCAGGTAAGTAAAAATTAGGACATGTATACATGTATCATTCAAAGTGTGGGATGCATATGCGTAGGTAAAATTATTGTTTTGTTTTTTTTCACTCATTGGCAAGTTTGGTTGTGAATAAACATTGGTAAAACACGCTTTAAAACGTTGCACACGACAGAAATCCCAAGAAACAATGACAGAATGTTTTTTTCCGTTTTTTTTTTCGGAAAAATATTTCATTCCCCCAGCTTCCTATTTCACCGAAACTTCATGAAAACATCTTTTTTCCCCCTTTTTTCTTTTCAGCAATAGTTTAAAGAATAATAATAAAATGTATTGAGCATTTATTATATACGAAAACTTATAGTTTACCAAATTACTAACTTCAGATTTTTAGAATTTCAAAAAGTGCACGTATGAAACATTGACGGTTGATCTGGATCGGATATCTTGTGGATCCATTTTTACATGTAAATCTAGACTAAATATGAATGGCTGAGATGATTCTTCAAATCATATAAATCACAACGAACACTGACTACTTACTTATCAATCTGATCACTAATATTTTCAACTACAGATTAACAATTCATCATCAATAAAATTCAACATTTTTTTTAAATCAAATTTTAATACGGTGATGAATGAATTGTTAACCATCAAATCACAACCAATGTCATACAATATATATTCAAACACCACCACTCCTTATACTTATCCTTGTAAAATACGCTGAAAAAAGACACAGTCAGTCAAAAACATGTGAGTGCTGGGAGAAAAGAAAATGGATGGTGCTCGAGTTATTTTTCTTGAACAGTAAAGTAAGAGAGAAAGGAAAAAAGCCAGTTTTGCATGGTTTCAAAATATAGGATATTTATCTTTTATTAATTTGGTATGGGGAAAACTTTTCCTACATGCATTTAAGACTTTTATCATGGATTTTCAAACAGTTATTTTTCAAAATTATGAGTGATATCCTCGCACTTGGTAGGAGGAAAGAATGTTATGATGTCAGCTTTACTCAGAATTATTTCTGGGATAAAGACAGTACATGCATGGATTGTTTTTAATTTTTCTTGGAATGTTATACAATTAAATATTTCATACATTATCTATAATACTTTTGTGTCTTATATAGTAATAAAAATTACCAAAATTTCAAAGATGTGAATATAGACAATTTAACACTAAGTTCAGTGCAGTAATCGACTAGTTTTCGTCATGCTTATTTGTGACTTACACAAGAATTATTTTCATTCAATATCTACATTATGTTAGTGTTAGCTAAAATAAAAATTACACAAAAGGAGTTTCAGAAAATTAATCAAGGACTGATCTATGTAAGGTTCATAGTAATAGCTTAATTCGTAATTTGTTCCATAATATTTAGATTTCGTCTCCTTTGAGCAATAAATTTTGGTTGTTTTCGAAGTCATTTCTTAACTAAACTGGTACTTACTACTGAAGCCCACTTCTCCCTTCTCTACTCCTGGTCCTCCAACTTGTACTTTATGATAGCCACCAGATGACAACTGCCCCACGGAATAAACGAATGGACTGCCTGGAAACCAACATAGTATTTCAGTAAGAAAAATATATAATTTTTCATGAAGAATTGAACAAAACTCAACATTGCATGTATAACATGTTACCTGAAATATGAAGTCCCTTGTGTTTGATACTGAGAGTGTGTGTTCCCTCCATTTGTGGGGTGAACCTCATTCTGTAGTGGAAATCTTCCTCATCCATGATCTCACACAGTTCAGTGGAACCCTCGGGATCTGTGACAGATGCCTCCATATCGAATGGGTTTGTTCCTGGAGAAAATGAATATCAGATCTCATTAACATAGGTTTTTTTTCTGTATCTCATTTTTTTAATTGTCCTAGAAAATAAAAATAAATTTGCATTTATCTTTAACAGAAAGTTTTCAAATTTAATTAAATGTTATTTTTACACATATTTTTCAAAGTTGCAAAAATTAGCAAATATTATAGCATCATAACGTGGATTTTTAACTCAAGATCAAATTAATGTTGTAAAGTACTCATAAATGCACACTAAGATTTGCGTTTGTCTGAATTATTGTGTGAAGTAATTCATAGTTACCTGGAATTTGAAGGTAAAATTCACAATTTTGATTTTTCTTTACGGGTTCGGCTTGTTCCATCGTCTTTGTAACAGTCTCTCTGATTCGTCCAGACGGTTCACCCTCTACTTGTAAAAGGAAAGGACTTCCTACAAAATAGACATGAAAATATAGTATATTATAATATATTCAAACAATGACATGGTAAAAACATTTTGTCCATGAACGCTACTTTTAATGCAGTTTTTCTTTCCAATTTTTGTTTACTAGAATGTGAAATAAAAAACCCCCACTAAATGCATATAAAATATATATAAAGTAGAACTGAAACTGTTCTTGTTAAAAAAAATATGCTTTAAATTTTGCCTTTTAATGAATTATTACCTGGAAGATGATCATCGGCAAATCTGAGGTTCAAAATGTAGATTCCGGGTTCATGAGGGCTGTATGAAATCTGGTATTTTCTATTTTCATAATGTTTGCATTCAATCTCGGAACGATGTGGTCCTTCTATAACAATACTTAATCCACCATATCCTGTTAGAAAATACAAAACACATTAAGGGAATTTCTCTTCCAGGTCCTTAGTTTATTCAGGGGAGATCATTAATTGTATGGATAGCCAAATAATAACGATCTATAATTAGTTATTGTTACCTAAGAACAATTCATAAATAATCAATCAAGAAATTTTAATAATAAAATAATGTTTTCCAATATTTTTTTCATGTTTCATATTCATCTGTATTGTGCCACGGTTCATGTTAAAGAAAAAGAAAAATGTTATGTGTTGTCAATGTAGATATTTTTTCAGGAACCATTTTGTAACTTACACTACGTATCATACCCCATTCAATTACACATCCACATTATGAAATATATTCACAAAAATATGCTATGTATAATATGATATATTTAATATATGTGATATATTTCAAGAAATTTTACCTGCTTCACTGCAATCGATGTCCAAAATGTTAGGTTCGTTGGCCTTTGCTTTGGTTGTTGGGCCATTAACTTTAACCTTGGCAGCATGGGCCAGTTCTTTGTCCCCAACCTTGATGTGGAAGGGACTGCCCTTAATAGGTTTTTCTTCTCGAGAAATATGTACAGCATAAAGTCCGGTAGATTTTGGTGCAAATGAACCCACGCCTGTAAGAATATTATTAATTTAGGTTATGCATGCATTGCAAAAATATCTTTATCTCTTTCGAAATGAATTTTTCGATCCCCATTATTTTCGTCTTAAGAAACCCTTATTCAATAAAAATGGACGAATATGTTAAAAGGATTGGCTTTGTTTATAATTCCAATATCAATATGCTTACAAAGATGTCCGTCGGCATCCTTTTTCAGAAGGCAAGGCTCGATTGCGCCAGAGGGCAGTTTGATGGAACCAACCAGATCAACAACGTTGGTTTCCAAAACGTTGAGGGAGTATTCAGCGCTGTTTCCGAGGGAAAGCTGGGATCGTTTTCTTCCCTCACCTGTGGATCATTAATGATGGACATTTAAAAAATTGGAATCGGTATGATCATTCCACACATTTTCTTTGAAATTAGATGTCTATTTTAGGATTCCTTGAAATGTTTTCTTGTGTGTAATGATGGTAACCAATCAACAAAATTTTTCAAGATTTTTTTGTTTAAAACATTAGATATTTTTATTCGTGGTATAAAAATAATATACTTCCAAACAGTGTTCGATGATAATTGATACTATAAATTGCTAAAGATGAAAGAAATTTCATGCCATATGTTATGCGATATCATCACTGAAGAGACGCCCATACTTTTGCAATATCGTTATCACAATATATCTAACCCCAAATATTTTGCGAAAAACAGCAAGAAGCGCTTTAAATTAACACATATTAAAAGCTAAAAATCCGGGGGGCTTCAAAATTTGTTAAGAGTTGTCATTATTCCCCAAGAATTGTTTAATATGAAGGTATAGCATTATACATGTATACCATGAAGACATTAAAAATAATATATTATACCTTTGGCTTCTGGTTTGTCGGCTGCAATAAAAACCCGGATGAGTTGTTTTTGCTATCATGCAACACACCTCACTGTCTGAAGACAATGATCAAGTGGCCATTCTCCTCTTTATCGCATGCTTTGACTGCTCAATTAGCGAGTTAGTAAAAAATAATAATAACAGAAATGAGCGCAGATCTAGGAAAAAGAGTGAAACATTTTTATGCAGATGAAACAAAAGAGCCGTAGGCCTATTACGTATACAGCTCCTCCTCTGTGCAAAAACTGAAAATGATCAAACTCTATTAAAAAAAAATCAAATTTCAGTTTTTAAGAAGGCACCAGCTGCCTCACTTACATGTAGATTTATCATAAATAATTTTTTTTCCGAAACCAGAAGTTGAATGAATTTTTCTTCGCGACTGCAATGTGCATGAGCTTTTCGGATCTTTAGGGTTCTGCAAATGTTTGTTTCGAAACATCAACCTAAAGAAAATGGGTTCCCATGTACTTTTTATAAACTATAAATATAACTTTCAAATAATACCATATTCTTAATATAATTTTGATGTTCTCTCAATCTAAACTACCTCTACAGACATGAAAAGTATTAGCAACGTTTGCAGAAACAGAACAAAAGCTTACTGCCTGCCCGAGAATGCAAAGAACTTAAAAAAGTTGAAATCTGCCATTCTCTACACTGAATATTCAATACATTTTCTGAAAGAAAGATGCATTTCCTTATGTTTTATTAGTAACATAATATCAGAGCATGGTACGTGAAAATAAAACGACACCTACATGTATATTTTGTACGATACAAGAAATCTATATATTACATGTATTTCTATTCAGTAGATCATTTATAGCAATGACTAGATTAAACTAAGACTACAGCGAGATGAATGACTTACCAGGTTTCATAGGTATACCATTTTCATGAACTACGGGTAAAAGACATTATAATGGCATTACGAGATGGGATCAAAATATTTGGAATAACCAAAGTTAAAAGGTTTGTTTCCTTTCTATCAAACTCCTTACAAAATTTGCAGATGACTGTTAACATGTCTCACGTTTCCGCAAATTAATGTTACTTTTCCGCAAAAAATAAGTCACGATTCCGATATACATTTGTATTTTTTTTATGATTCAGCAAAAAAAAAAAAATCTTGTATTATATTTTCATATAGATATGTTACCTGGATCACTGGCACACAGGTTAAAAAATTATATAAATTAAGTTATATCTTTAGATAAAATAACACAGTACAACAAGCATGATAAAATGTCGCATATTGAAAAAATGACACTTGTAAAATATCGCATACTGATAAAATAGCACTTTGTAGCACTGTATAAAAATGAAAGCTACAAAATGACACCCTAGCTATAGTACATGTACTAATCCTATATACGTGATATTCTCTGTACTTTGTATGAAAGTTACTAAGGGCATCTTGCATGTCTGTTCGGGTACCAAATCTGTACCTGACAGCCCTAAAAAAATTCAGCCCTGGCAACTTTGCATTTTTAGCTCACCTCGACGAAGTCGAGATGAGCTTATGCTATACCCTCGGCGTTGGCGTTGAGGTCGCGTCCCGGTTAAAGTTTTAGGAGCAAGTCCATTCCCAAGTATAACTATAAGCCCTACCTGGACCAAACTTGCATGGTTGATGCATCTAGGGATGGACACTACCACACTTGCTTTGGATGCTGGATCTGACCTAGATTTTCCAGATGAGTGACCAGGTTAAAGTTTTTGGAGCAGGTCTATTCCCAAGTAACTATAAGCCCTACCTGAACCAAACTTGCATGGATGATGCATCTAGGGATGGACACTACCACATTTGCTTTGGATACTGGATCTGACCTAGATTTTCCAGATGAGTGACCAGGTTAAAGTTTTTGGAGCAGGTCTATTCCCAAGTAACTATAAGCCCTACCTGAACCAAACTTGCATGGATGATGCATCTAGGGATGGACAATACCACACTTGCCTAAGATGCTGGATCTGACTTAGATTTTCCAGATGAGTGACCAGGTTAAAGTTTTTGGAGCAGGTCTATTCCCAAGTAACTTTAAACCCTACCTGGACCAAACTTGCATGGATGATGCATTCAGGGATGGACACTACCACACTTGCTTCGGATTCTGAATCTGACCTACATTTTCCAGATGAGTGACCAGGGTAATGTTTTTGGAGTAGCTAGTATATAATATTATGGCATGTTATGATTAAACTTGCATGGATGGTGCATCAAAGGATGAAAACTTCAAGACTTGCTTTGGATGTTGGAACTGAGCAAAATTTTCTTGATTAGAAAACAGGTTTAAAGTTTTTTGAGCAGGTCTATTTCCAAGTAACTATAAGTCCTTCTTAAAACCAAACTTGTATGGATATTGATCTTGGGACGAACACTAACTAGAAAAAATATGATGTGAGATTTTCCTTACTTATAGATAACCTTCGTCGAGGTGAGATTCGTAATCTTTGATTACCTATGTTTATATTTTGCATATTCTGTACATAGAATGTCAGTTTTGTCTTTGTTACTCAATACTACATGTAAATTGCGGAGACGTAGTGCTTTGATACAATAAAAGCTTATATATATTATTTTGCGGAGACGTAACAAAACTCTTTGCGGAAACGTAAAAGTTAATTTTATTCAAAATATTCGGGTATGTTTTTCTTCTATTTTAAACTTACAGGTACATTTGCGTTTTACATTGAACAATTTCAATTGTGTAATTTTTTTGTACAACACTGATAGCGGTAAAGTACTGTTCTTGAGGAAACATTGTAGAAATATTAAGATATAAAATGCTAAGCAAAACTATTTTCCTTTTTGTGCAAATAACACATCCATAAAACTGTTAGGAAACAAACATTTTTAATAATTTGGTCCAAAGCAGTGTAGGGGATAGGAAAAAATAACACACAACAAAATCACAACGTCAACACCATTCCTGGACCTCACATAGTCATTAAATGATTGGATATATAATTATATATGCATAATTTCACATTGATTTCTTTAAAATTGGTATATGATATGCTATTTGTTCGTGTAAACAAAGATTACTTAACATTATAATTTTCCTATGCGATTAATTACAGTAAGCACACTGTTCAATAGTGGAAGAAAAAAAAAGTAATCTGTACTTAGGTTATTTCCTCTTTTTGTGCTTCGCGTATGACCTTATAATACTAAGGTTTGAAAAAATGCGGGTAAATGGCAGAGTGTTCAGGAATTTTATCATATCTGTCACATAAATGACATCGAGACTATTTTCAGTTGGCATTTGAACGGCACTACCATTTATCATATCCATGCCGAGATGTATATTAGTATTACTGCAGTAATGTCAAGATCAAGCGCTTCACATTGGAATCGCTGCATCGGTTGAATGTGGGCGATGGCATTACCTGAAACCTTGGATACGAAGGGGGATCCTTTCATCTCCTTCCCGTTGTATTTAATAATGATGTTATAGACACCAGGTGTCATGGGGAGGAACGAAATGTCACATTTGTCTCCATGATCTTTTCTTGTAATGTCTGTCTTTGTAGGACCATCCACCTTAACGTCCAATTTACCTGCAAAGGTAAAAAAAAATTACATTTTTAAACGAAATTTCTATGGCGGTTTCCAATATTAACAAAAATATATGTATGATTTTGATACTAAGTAATGCATATTTAGAATCTAGGTCATTAAATAATGGTATAAGCATATTAAAACTGCACCATTTTGGGAGTTTGAAGAATAATGAAGAGCGTTTCAGAACAAGAAATTCAACATTAGTACACATGAACCTAAAATCTCTTGTTTTTATTTTTTATTTTCTTGCAGAGTATATTTCTCTTAGTGTACTTTAAAGTTGTTTATCGGATTCTTGAAAGGATCTTGAATTTTTGTGTACATCTTCGTGTGTGTTTCTGACAAATCAATACACAAATCGACACAAAACAGGTTACCCACTATTGAAATCACTCAAGTATAATCAGAAAACACTGTTTCAGCATCAGAAAATCTATGTAATAAGGCAGCAGTGGCCCGTTTTTTCCCCATACTATCGTAAGTAAGCATGTAAACCTCTACATGCATATTGTAGATAAGTGGACGATTTTTTCCCTCATTTGAATCGCACGCAGCTTTGTTTTCCTGTCTAGTTGGCTAACACAGTACACCAGCATTACAAGACATTTTGAAATTAGTACCGATACACGGGAAACGAGTACTGATATAATTCGATGTTATGTTGGCCTACATAGAGCACGATTTCACATAGTCTTATGTTTTCTAACTTAAGACAGTGTGAAATCATGCTCTACATGTATGTATCTTCTCTTCTAATGCTGAGGGGCTATGTTTTTTCTTCATTAATTGGTCCTTATTTTATTTGACTTACTGAGGCAACTTATTTAAATACATTAATTAAAACTTTGAGACAAATACCTTTTTTTCCCTTTTCAGTGTGCTAAAAATACTTGCATATTATGCCGAAGTATTAGTTTTTACACAAAAAGATCTCGTGAATGTAACAGTGTAATATTTTTTTTAACCTAGAAGATAAAAAGTATACAAACATGTGGTACTGCGAAGTGGAAATGCTCAAAAGTACGTTGGGGGGGTTACCAGCAGTTAATAAATCCGAGGCTTGTGCATTGAATGGACGTTTTTGCATTCCTAATGTAACTAAGATGGTTAATTTGTTCCTCTCTCGGAAGGAAGGAATATTGGTACTTAACGTGAAAGCAAGATCCTGTCTCAGGAGTTCATTAGTCGAGCGGCCAATAAACCTACAATAGCTACTAAGCTAGCCTCTGTCCAAAGTTCATTAAGCTGGCTCACTTGATAGAAGTGAACAAAAGTATGTTTCTTCTTAATTTTTGGATGAGATTTTGTTTATTATTATCAAAGCTGTTACACGGCTGAGCTAATTTTTAGTCATAAATCATTAACTGAAGAACTGAAGACATGCGAAATAGAATGAAAATTTCAACAATATAAATTTAACAGGATATAACTAAATTCTTTTACATTCCTATGCTAAAATACACGCAGAAATGGTGGCATTATAGTTTCTTATATTTTCATGTAACTCTTCGAGAATCGACGCTGATGCAGGAAGTAATGCTGTCTGTGTTGACAGCAAATTAAAAAAAATTATGTGTACATATTTCGTTCAAAAATTGGCCAGGGACTTTTGGGTGGACTCTTGCATGAACAGAACAAATATTTTCATATTTTGGCAATATCCATAATGATTAATTAGCGCACAAAATTGCCAAATAAGAATCACTCCATAATAAACACATAAACACCAAAAAGAACATAATTTGTCTTCGGGCGACACTTTTGATATTTTTCGAAGTGAATCGTCCGATACATACTAAGGGTGCCTTGTTTGGCTGTGACAGTGAAGGCGACCATTTGACCGCTCATTCCACCTACAAGACCAGCGCCAAATGCTGTCACATAGCTGCCATCGATCTGGTCGACCATACAGGAGAACGGGCTACCTGAAAAATAAAAGTCAAATACCTATAAATGCTAAGCAAGAATTAATATTTACATTTGCAAGCGTTTTCCCTTATATAACACCATTTGAGCAATTCGTATATATCTCCGTATAGATACAGGTTGGTCACATGACCACAAATTTCTTAAAAAAAAACGGTGGAAGTAATTTGTTAATGACGTCATAAGTGATCGTTGAGACTTGAAAATATAAATCATTTCATGGGTTTAAAACTACAATATAAATCAGTCACAGATGTAAATAATTATGATAAATAAGGTATCATTTTTAAACAAATACTGGTTAATTCGTAACTTGGTAATCGAATCTAACTTATAGCCCTTCGGGCTCTATGGGATTTGATCAGCTGAACAACCCGTATTTATATCATTGATGTTTAAAAATGATACCTTATTTCTTAAATAAAAAGAGAACACTCAGTAAAGATTTAGTTATGCAAGTACGAACTATATGGTATATATTCTGATATAGTTCATGATCATGGCATTGGCATATTGTTTCAAATGTTCTTGAATCTATATAATGACCTTTGAAGTACAATTCTGTTCCCATAGCAGCTCTTGTTAATCTTGCAAATATTGACACGAATTCGATAAATAAGCAAGAAGATGAGAGTTCTACGGCATTGTTTCATTAACATTAAATGCTTAACATAAATCATGCAGAACTCTACAGGAAGGAAAAAATGGTATTTTTTCTCCACCTTGATATGTAATAAGGTGGATAAATTATACTTCAGTTTGGTGACAAAGTTTGAATCTGTATTTCAACAAATAAATACACAAACGAGTTTGCTTTTTACCCTAGGACCGAAACCAGTTCTTATTTTTGGAGTTTGGGGAGAATACAATGTCAAAACAAGTTCGAAATCAGGCAAATCTAATTTAACCATTGTTGCAACGCAAAAAAGTTACCTTCATAGTGTAAAGAGACTAGAATGTAAATAATGACACAAAAATAGATCGTGTGTGAGTTCTTTAATGTAAATCAGCAAGAGGCACAGAGGCAAACAATAAGAACCAAAATGAATCGCTTATCGTATACATTCCAAAGATTGCAAAATGCATTATACTGCAAGGAAATGAGTCAAACTGGAATGTTTTTTTTGTGATGACTTACACAGACGCTGAGCTTCTTGAATAAGTTTTCTAAGAAAAACTGGAAAACAGGGAACGTGTCCAACGACCAAAAAGAAAAAAAAATGACTACTGGTATTTCTATTGAGTGATGTATGTTCTCTATCAAAACGAGTTTGAAGGGTTGCAAAATTGGCTGTCGAGATTTAATGGTGAAAATAAGGGCCAAAATTCAATTGCAGTTTGAGTGATTCTTCAAAAGCCAGTAAAAGTTTAAGTACAGGCTAATTAAGATCCGTACTCAGAGAGCTACAGTGGGTGCTTTGGTACTTTGTAGAAATGTTTATTCTGGTTTTGTGATCTATATATCCTTGGTAAGGTACAAATATACTACCTGTGCCGGAATCCTTTTTGAGCCAGATGTCACGCTGTTTTAATTTTGTAAATGTCTATTATGATAAAACTCTACACCAATTTCATTCTAAAATATTTTGAAGAGCTTATTTGGGTCACGTTTGATATACATTGTATATATATCTTAGCGCCAAGAACAACTGAAAATAGTTCTGACATATATAAAAAAGGACATAAGGATCAAGCTCTTTGTGAGGACTTCAAGAATCATTTTTTTTAAAGATGAATAGAAACGAAAATAAAAATAATTCTATATCATTTGAAAAGTAATAAACACCTGTGATAAATAAAAATTAACAGCAGGATAGATAGTAGCATCACAATTTCCAGAACCCCGTACGCGTATTTTCGTGTTTTGAAAAAAAGTTCCATATAATCGTAAAATATAATACTACATCTTAAGAAATGGAAGACTACTGATTAAGAAATGATAAAGCAAGTCCATAAAAAAAATTATTAATTTTGCGAGAACTTAATATGTTTGTTTTGTTGTGGATTTAATATGATCATAAAAGTAATACAACGTTTAAAGACCCACAATAACAAGAACTGTTGTGTTAACAAGATCAATTGCCAAAAGCCATTGTTTACAATAAAAATTTGTTTTATTTCAGCAACAAAGTTAAGGGTTCATTGATGTTGTGTAAACAGATTATACTGTTTCGTCTTGCTGATGCAACAATTTTTGCTCGCAGTTAGACAAAACACAAGGCTGTAAACAAAACCATATGGCATGATTCTATTATGACAATCACGATCAAAGATAGTAAATTAAACTTCGAACCCACAAGTGCACTCTAAAAGCCCGACCTGTCAGTTGATCTTTTGAAGAAAAAAAAGGTTCTGACAATGTACTTTTTATCGTAAGTTCTTGTATTGTTTCGTGATTTTTAAAATGGAGAAAACGTGAACATTTATTGATTTTATCGGGGGGGGGGGGGGGCAGGGATTTTTTCACACAAATGAGCGATTAACTGCTCTAAGATTAGATAGTAATTCATTTTCTGAATTTTGTTTTTATCATACAGAGATTTGGCCAATTTCAGATTAGTTGGATTTCGGTGTTCAATTATTAGTTAATGGCACCAGTTCCATTCTTAGTTTAGCAGGGAGTCCTAGTTTGTTCGATAAAGCGCGGTTCTTATGATCTCTTGCGTATCACTGTATTCATAAAATCTTTTTTGTGTTGGAATTACCACGATGGCAGAAGAAGATGTTTAGAGGCGTCCGCCATGGCATGGCGTCACAACTTAAAAAAGAAAGGATTTTATTAACGCGAGAACGAGAGTTCAGCCAAAGTGGCGCTGTGATACACGTTGTGGTATATAGTGTGATACTGGCATTATCACTGATCAAATGCAGAATTTAATCTGACAGCTGATACACAGAAAAACTCCTCCAGCAAAAAGATAATTACGCAATACATACCAATAAATTTTAATTTATTTTAAAGTTACCTAAAATTGAATGGCTGTTAACAATTTCTGAATAAATTCTATCTAAATGTAATCACCACCAGAGAAAATGGCTCCCTTGTGTGTTTACTTAAATATTAAATATCATATAGAAATAAAGCGTAGTATTCAAATATCAGCTACAGTCAGTTGAAATATTTCTGTACAGTCGTCAAAATTTGGTAAAATATGAAAAAAGAAAGAAACAATGACTTCTTTTGAAATTTGTAAATCTTAGTAACATATTCCATGTATCTTACATTTTTCTAATGAAATTCAAGAACTTTTTGCAATGGCCCCAAGAATACATGCACTATATTCGACAGTTGCTTCGACATGGGCAAAACTAAAGATTCCCGTTATCTTGATGATAATTCATTTTCCGGAGGATGTGATTCTCAGAAACATTTATCAATCTTACAAATGTTTCGCGCAGTTTGTTGCAGGAAAAATGTATCTGGCAAGCCATCATCATTCCACTTGAGTAGAAATCAACTGCGGTTCACAGGTAGTAAACAGCTTATTGCAGAGCCATTGGAGTAGGGTGCTAACCGTATATTTTGAACGGAATCTGTTTCTGGTTGAAACTTTTTACTATTTACAACTCTTCTGACCTGAGATTGGAGCAGACTGACAGATTAAGAGTAATAGGCCATTAATCAAGGCATCTTTGGTCAGCGTGCGTTTCTAAATCTTTGTTGCAGCTTTTATAGGCCATCTAACCTACATGTTAATGGAATCATTTTCTTTTCTTGATTTTTTTTTATTTTTTTGTATTGTGTACATACATGTATATGTGCGAAACAAACATTAGGAATAGTCAAAATCGAATATTTAATCAAATACATTCTTGAGTTTTATCGTTTGTTTAAATTCTTAAGTATTCTACATGCTCTATTTGTACAGGGGTTTATCGGTTCAAGAGCAAAACCATTCTCTTTCATCGGTTTGTGATTTGAGTCGCATAAACTTGAAGTATAACAAAAGTCAAATATTCTTGATCTACAGAGTCGTATTAAAGTGAGCAGACCAAATGTATATCCTGTAAAAATAATTAACACTCCTAGCTTGATCTACAGCATCACAGATTTTTTTTTCTACACGGATCTCCTACCAGGGTTCTGTTACCAACTAATATCACTCAGACCCATTGCCCCCGAGGCCAACAATAGCACAAATCTGTCAGAATTTCTGTTTGATTTGATCGTCCGAATTTCTTCAGAAAATTGCAGTGAAAATATTTATATAATAGTGTTATGATTTGGATGTAGTATGCCGAAATAGTAGTTATGTTTTGACACATAGTGCACGAGCCGGAGGCTATATGTCAAACCCTGACTACTATTTAGGCATAGTACTTCCAAATCATAACACTTTTATAATTATTATGGTGATTGTTGTATCTATACGACAATTTAATTAAATTCTCGATAGCAAACCTTTTTGCAGACGTAAAATCTAAATGAAAATTTTCTTGAACATTCTTCTTCAAGTATTACATGTATATCAAAAAAGCGTTTTAAAGACTCCGAAGTGCCAGTTCATGTTACGTTTGGTTATTAATTTATTCGAATATTTGTTAGAGAATTTTTGTTCAAGATCGTTATCAATGAGTCTTTTAAAAATGATATTACTCCTCCATGGCACCTGATCCCACCTCTGATGTTTTTTAGATGTCCGTGTTTGCTCTGCTCCTGATTGTATTGTTTCAATGGACTTTTGAGCTTGATTACTGTTCGTGATCTCCGTATTTGATTCATTTATTTCTTGTATGAAAACTACTTAAAAATACATTTTTAATGTAACAATGTTCGTGGCGTAACCGGTTGGACTTATATGCTCGGGATCGTGAGTTCGATCCCTATGCCAATTACATTTTCTCTAGAAAAGGCACCCGTACACTATTTCGGCATAGTATGCTTATGTTTTGTAAATCCTTTGCATGCTATGCGAAAATAGTTGGGTATTGATCAAATAGAGACAATCTGACAGGGTATATAATTCATATTATATGTTATCGATAGTTACTGCTTTGTCATCCACATATTTGTGGCAAATATACATGAAACGTTGTAACCTTGTGAAAATAAAAAGTGCCAATTGCCATCGTCATCTAAAAAATCAAACATATGGACATTCACTTAAAACTTTCCTGCAATACATGTGGATACTTTCGCTAGATATTTACAAATAACACTATTTTCCTTTAACTTCAATGACAACCGCTTGCTGTTCGATCTCTTTTTTTTCTGTCATTGTATATAACTTGAAAGAGAAAAGACCTATTTGCAGAATAAAAATATACTGATATTTTGAAAGATAGTTATCCATTGATACATCTGTGAAAAAGTCAACTTATATAATTTTTTTTAAGTTGTTTTGAAAACTCGACTATAACACTGAGTTGTGTAATATTTGATTAAATCTATAAGTGAAAAAAAAAACATCCTAACATAAAAACGATATGTACATGTAAATTGTAGCACTTGGTACAGTTGACACTGGACACTTAAAAACATGAATACAATATTCCATAATCATGCCCTTTGAAAGACCTCACAGCTTACAGCTTACAATAGTATTTTGATTGGCTTCGGACTCGAGCATTAATAACAATTGGAAGGTAGATGAGGTCAAATAGCGACTAATATAAACTTATCTTGTATCATCCAAGTTATGATAGCATTACATATTGTTGATTAATCGTCAGTAGGAATGCAAAAAACTCCCGAACAGATTTTCTCACCTTCCACTGCACACCCTTCGTAACACATCTGGACTTCATGTCTTCCGCTTTTGTTAGGGTGGTACTGGACACTGATAGACCCGTCTGTATTATCCTTGATTTCCGGTCCCAATCCTTCGGCATCTGGGGCAGGCATTTTAAACTGTAAAAAAAAAAATCAAGTGTCAATTGACGACTACAGACAAATAAAAATCCTGCTTCCACAAAAGAAGCTCCGCTAAGTGATCTTTTGGCATTGGCATTCGATGGAGTGTTAGAAAAGCAACAGCATCCGGATTCTTTTAACTCAAACCATGTGGGGTTCGCGATATTATATTGACTAAAGGTTGAGGACAATGTTTTGGTGATTACTATAGGGTTACCAACCTGTTGTCGAACTCATTCAACACTGAATATGATAGGTTCATATAACGAATGTGTATAATATGCAAAAACACCAAAAAACACACATAAAAACTTGATGTTGTGTGGTAGTAATTGGAGGATGAAATATTGCATTGTTGACTTTTCGCTAACACGGTGCTATTGAACCATGTAGAACAAACATTCTACATCTATTTCAGATTTTCCTGGGGAAAGCAAACTGACAATTTTCATACATCTAAATCACTTCTTGTATATTTTTTTTACTTATCTTATTGTTGATAAATTCTCCAAATTACCTTATTAATACCAGTTCAATTAAAGAAAATTTACGTAAAACGATCAAGAGTTATGATGAGAAGCTCGAAAAAATTAATTTCAAAATATAGTTATCAGAGAGATTAAAGTATAATCAAAAGACGAATCTTTCTATTTATTATATCTGTCAATCATCTTATGAGTGCTTCATGTTTTTGAAATTTGAAACCTAAAAAGCGTGTGTATGTCAATGAAAACTGCTGGGAAAGCACTTGTACTCGTGTAAAAAATTATTTTATGATCCATCCACGAAACTCTCCTACAAACAAGCCATTAAGTTATAATTGCCTCTTTGCTTTTCGTTTTATCTTAAAGACAAGGAAAGCGTTGCATAATGAAACCGAGGGCCTTCGTACGCCTCCACTTCACCCAGACGGATGGAAATATATTCTTGCTCTGTTGTTTGATGGGCAAGGCATATAATTGTTTCGACGTTGTACACGGGCATATATTCACAGAACAAGGAGAGAAAGGGTTTTGCGGAAGCGAGATAAAATTCTACGGAGTGTCTTGGCAAAATTCTTTTTATGGTTCTGTCGATTGTGGTTGCAAGCAACTTCCGCATTGACTAACGTTACAAAAACATAAAAAAGGGTTTTTGAGGTTTCGAAAATATGCCAGAAATCGTTTTCTTGAATTTTTGTAAGTTTGGAAGAGAAAACCATCTGCTGTATATGACCACTTTTTTTTTACATCTCTCTCTCTCTTTCCCTCTCTCTCTCTCTCTCTCTTTTTGACAGTACCCATTTTCATTGATCTTTAAAAACTGTCCCAAATAGCCTTTATGTTAATAAAACTATTAAAATGTTAATAAAGCAAGCTTGTTGGGATTTGTCTATCTAGAACCTTGTGAGGATTCTTCAGATATGAATTTAATCGGAAAGAAGAAAAAATGATTGCGTCAAAGAGAAACATCAGAAAATTTGGCCTCTAAATCATGAATGTCTAAACGACCTCTTTTTTCACTTGCCAATCTAAGTCAATTCCCTACACCTGCTGAGTATGCAAAACCTTCTTGTGTGATAAGATGCAGCTCATTCTACGCTACTGTTTTCGCAAAACATGGCGTCGAATTTTCCTCTGTTGTAAATACCTCATATCTTGTCTATAATGCTAAAACTCTCCTGCCCAGTTTGCATCACTACAAAATCCAATTGATGAAGTTGGCAATGGCTAATTATTGATATTATTCATATTATCAAATGAACCGGATATCAGAAAACATCATGTGAATACCCTTTTATTCAGCCCTACACAAAAAGCTTATTTTAAAGAAGCAAGGTTTGATTGATTTCTTCCAACTGTTGGTAACATACAGACATGACATAATCTTGAATTTAAAAAAAAAATAAAAGATTGTTTTCAGATGTGCATTCCAAATTAAGGTGTGTCAATAACACAGAACCGTCTGAAGAAAAAGATAACAGTTTATTAAAAAAAAATATCAACGTTCCATACATACTCTTCTAATTTCCTCAGGGATTTCCTCTTTTTCATTAAAATCTGACCCTCTTTTGTCCAAGAAAACTATGAACTCGTATTATTTCTACATCATAGATTAAGAAATCTGCAGAAACATTATAAAGCTGTGGAATTGAATTAACAATTAGGTTCTGTTCATTGGCATTATATCACAAAGATAAAACAAGACTTATTTGAAGACATTCCGTTGTTAAATTAATGACTCATGAATTCAATCTTTCATCTTGTGCAAGAATTAGTGTTTTTATACACAATCTTTCGTTACCGCTTCGTTAGAATTTGAACAGAATTTTCGAAAGCCTATAATTTCACAAAGATTGCAACATTTAACATTGTAACTTTAACATTTTTATTCGAATCTCAACAGACAATTGATTCATTGAACGACATTGACCTATCTCCCACTTTTCTAATACTTCAGAGGGGAAAAGTCCATTATTATCCATAAATTTATGAATTTCAAAATATTTGACTATTGTACAACATCAAAAGGGAAAAAACAGAGGTGACAAGTACTCACATTTTGGAATGTATCAGCAACTGAGCCTAAAATAGTACCACTGTCAAAAACAGTAGATGAGTTTTATATATAAGGTAGATAATGATCACCAGGCGCGGCTCTGAGTACGATCTGCAGGAACTCTCGAGTTAAGCTATGTCCCGCTGTAATCCAATCAAATGATCCATAATGTTCCGCCAAGGATAACTATTTCCCGGGCATACTTGCTGACCAATCCGATTAAGAATCTAGGGGTTATATCATGACCACTTTTTTTTTACATCTCATATATTAAATGGAATTATTAATGTAACATCCTTACCTTAATTCTCCTGCGAGTTTAAAAGGAGTGTGCACGAGTTCCTTAGATTTTTTTTCTCGGTACGACCAGTTCAGGTACAACTATACACGGTGGAATATTGGGCGCACACCCTTAGTACATTTGCACGTGTCACTTGCAATAGTTGCGATATTGTTTTGTACGTGTATTCTGTCTAACACGATTCGTTGAAAATACTGCATACAAATGTTGCTTCTCTTCCCTCTCGTAAAGGTTGCTATGGTTACTTTTTTTGAAAAGAATCTTTTGTAAATATATATTCACATTTACAGATGCGGAGAATTATCTCCTAGCCCACGTTTACTTGATGAAAACCGGAGCAAAAAGGCACGTAATTTTTGCCGATCGCACCTAGCAAATAATGAAATTTATCGTTTACAAGCAATAATTTTGATTGTATGTCGGGAAAAAAGTCAAAACACCCTGTAATTTTATAACCATAAAAAAGAAAACGATTGCTGTCCGTGCTGAGGAAATATGATATCGCTACATACAGCTCTTTGTTTTAGATAAGATCTTTTGAGCATGATTATACTGTTCGTTATCTTCATATTTCATTTTGCAACAAATTTCTCCTCGAAATGAGATAAAGTTACGTGACTCATCTATCTGTTTTGACTCAAAGTTCTGTGCCTTACAATATTAACTTGCTTTCGCCATAAAGAAATCGTTTTAATATGAATCAAGTGTATCTCAAACAAAGATCATATGTATTAAAAATAATTTCAATTTTATTTTCTGCCCCATGCTAATGCCTCGTTGAGAGTTCCCTTGGCCCTGGTTGCTCCATCTATTTAGAGAGAGGAATTCTGCTTTGTGATGCCGAGGCTCGAGCATACGACATATCAATATTCTTCTACATCTTGTTAAGTCAACTGCAGATGCAAACCACCTAATAAGATTTGATAGATGAAACAGAGCACGCGTGCACCTTACAAGTACTATCAATTAAGATACAAATAAACTTCTGAATGGTAACTGCCAAAGGGAGTTTTGGAGTAATCCCTTCTCTGTAGAGTTTCAAGTGAGGCCATATACCTAATGTCAAAGCTGCGCATAGAGAAAAAAGCTTAAATAATAATAGAAATAATAATAAGGTTGTTTTTTTTAAATTAAAGTGCGGGAAGTACAGTCTCGAAAATTATAGTTATCTACCCCATTTTATCAGAATTGTATGAATAGTATATGGTGTTTCAAAGTTTACATGAAATAATCATTGAATATTTTTTCGATGCTACAACTTTTGCTTGTACACTGGTCGCATCTTTGGACTTAAGATATTATGTTTTGTTGAAATGCATTGGAAATCTAAATCGTTCAACCACCAATAAACACACTCTAAACCTTGTCACGGCGCAAGAATATTCAATAGGAAGTACAGTGTATATACATTTCTAATAATTATGAATTAAGATCATTTTGCATTGATTTTGCTCAATAAAATTGAAATTTATTACTCTATTAAATTCTTGTAAAATTATGACAATTCTACGTAAAAAAAATTATTTTTGCCATTTTTTCCCTGGTCGTATAACAGCACCTGACCATGCCGACAAATTATCATACCGCACTAATGCAGAGTATTCAATTTGTCGGAACGGCCAGTTGCTGTTGTACGACTGATGACATAAAAAAAATAATAATTCAATGCTTAAATAAACATATTATTTATAAGGCATCTTAAGACTTTTAGGGGGGATTCTAATAGAAATATGCAACATAAAAAATTGAGTTTCCTTCAAACTTTGTCATAGATGTATATAAAACTTGACTTTTGTTTAAAATGAATGAAAGGTTATGAACCATTAATATTCACGTAAAAAACTTTGCTTATTATTTCCTTTTATATTTCAAAATTCGTATCAATATAATATTCCTTCCTTCCTGTACTGTATATTTGTTTCAGATGTATTTATCATCTCCAGCACTTGACTCGGATACATTTGTCTACAGTACAGACGTAGTCAAAATAATCCAGAGTGTTTGTAATTTACTTCTATCACATGTAAGTCAAGAAAGCGCGTGTTTACTGGTCGGTTCGGTAGTATAACTTAAGTGCGCGCGCAGAAAGATCACCAACATCGCAGGCAATGTGGTGGATTCAGAGATGATTATTTGGTAATCAGAGTTAGTCTCAGGC